AAGCTTTATCAAACCGTGGAAGCACGTAATGTAATGAAAATGTTTTTCTTAATTGAAATGTTGTTGAACTTGTTGAAGAATTATCTAATGGTTAATAGATCATTGGTCAGATAGTGCATCAGTAAGTTGTAAATGATTTCAACTCAATAATGATTGATCAGCCATTGAGTTGATGTATATGGACTTGGTAGAAATATTTTAAGTTGGTGCTGCTGTTCTCTGTAGTGGTGTACACTATTAATATTGAAAAATGATAAATTATTTGATTCATGGAAGTGCAATTATTGTTTGAATGTATCAGATATTTTTTGTTTAATACCACAACTCTGCTAAAACAAAAGAAAACAAAGTTAATCAACTAAAGGAAATGAACAAATATTTACTTATTACTTGAAAAACTTTATTTTTCTTAAAAACTCCAGTTTTTTTCGAATGTTCTTTCAATCTCAATGATTGATTTGTTAATAACATTATCATCTGTATTAGTCGATATTAACTCTTCAATTGATAATGAACTTAAATGTTATAATAATACACCATGAATTTCGTCTTCTGAAATAAATAAAAAATAGACCGAATACTAAAATAGTAAGTGATTTGCCGATAGATTAAAATTTGTCAACGTATTTATCCAAATCATTACCAGCCAATCATCTGGAGACATTTTCAACACTCCACTCTATATATAATTAATCTAAAATAGAGTAGACAAATAGATAAAATGAAAACTATATTTTTACTTGTTCTTAAGTCTTCTATAAGGAAATAATACGAAGGATTTCAAAACATGTTGAATAGATATACCAATAGCATGAAATTAAAAAATATTACTCAGCAAAAGTTCACAGATAAAACACACGAATGAAACACAAGTTTTTTATACGACATAAAAAAAACAAGTCATTATTAGTACAATGATTTTCTCGAAATAGAAATAGAATTTCGAATATTGTTTAAAACTACTGTTGATTTTCGATTTTCCGAAATGAATCTGTCTAAAAATCAAACATTTTCTAACTATTTCGAATTCGACCAATAAATAATGTCATTTTCAAAATCCTTTAGCATTTTTAAAGTCGATTTTCTAAAAAATAGAATTTATATAAAATTTACAGTGCATGATCTTTCCAGTAATCAATCAAAAAGATACTATTGATGGATGAATGAACATGAAGTCTTCTACTGTCGTCTGATATGTCCCTTCTCTTTGTCATAAACTTTCCTATTTTTACTGAAGGTATATCTTCCAGATTGTTATTAGTTTAGACTTCTTATATGAATTCCATAAGTGATTGCGTGAATCTTTCGATAACAATAAAAAATCATCTTGTCTTCCTTCCACTTTCTTTAAATAGGACATGTATTTTGACAAGTTCGAGTAAGTGATAAACAATACCAAATATTCTAAAAAAAACAAAATTAGTATTGAAAAATTCATATCATGCATATTTATTACTATAATTGTGTAACTAGTAAACGACAAACCTCTCCATAAATATGAGCCAGCTATATCCATATACTTATTTAAGTAATTTTTTTAGACTGATGCATAATCATTTTCTATCTATTTTGAAGTACGAATATGTCAAAACTTAATTTTAATGAAATATTCACTGATAATCAAAAGGACACTTATAGTAAGGAGATAACAGCCAAACTATAAACAACGACACAGCAGCATTTACTCTTATACCATTGGTACTTTATTAATACTTGCCGAGGATTATTGACGATGCCATCCAGTTTACTATTTATAACATAAATCAATATTGAAAACAGTTCGACAAGAATATTTTATTCGTTATATTACACATACGAACATATATATATCTACAAATTACTGAGTATCATGTTATCAAAAAAAGCAACCTAGAATACTCTTTTATGTGAGTATAAGATTTTACACTCTAAATATCTTCTTCAGTGTTTTTTTTAAATTTCGTCTAGCTTAGTATTAGCAAGAACTGTATCATTGATGGTTAGCTTATATCAACGTCTTTAACACAATATAAACAACCTATATTCTCTCAAGGACAAAAATATAATTCTTTTTCAATTCTTTCTTTTTCTTTCTCTCTATCCCGTATGATTGTGTATGACCTTGTATGTCATTGTATGAATAAAAAAAAGTAACTATGTTTGTCTAAACATATTATATTTCGTTGCCGTATTTTTTTTTATTTTGTGTTTATTTAAAAATGACCTCATTTTGTTATATTTAGAGAGTAGAAGACGGCAATGCAAAGAACAAAAATATTCTCGTGACGTTTCTCAGTTTTAGAGAATAGATATGGTTAAATGCATTTTTTTTGAAAGCTCATTGTTTTCTGTAGTTAATAAGAACCTTCACAAATGATCACGCACTCTAATACCAACAATCGATTCTAATAAAAATAGCTCAATACTCTGTTGTCCTTTGATATCATCAATACCCATGCATATAAAAAAAAACATTCTGCATCATCACATATTTTCTTTTCTTTATCATTCCTTGTCTCACAAGGTATTACTATTGTGCATTAGATTGATACAATTTACATTATTCTTGACAGTTTCAATGATCACTTATCTCATTATCTTATCATTTCAAACTATAATCAACAAAGAGAGAAATAATGTATGACTCAAGCACACAATCATCTATTGCTAAAAATAAGATGCTTGTTTCTTATCAAAGATTGTTATGTGAAGGCCTACGAACATGTTTTTTTGCATTAACTAAATTTTCTTCAATATTTCGGATTTGTTTTCAATATCTTATGCCATAAAAATATAGAATTTTTCATGGGATGAATTAGAAGAATTCGAGTCTTAAATGTCCTTTGAAAACTGTTTTTTCAAAAATGTCTCCTTACTAGAACCTCGCATTGAATTTAACTATGACAAATTCTAATAATGAGCAGCAACATAAAATAACATTTAAATCATCTATTGATTTAATACAATTTATTTTAATTTTATTATCAATAGCTATGAAAGATAACAGAAAGTCAAGCTATATGAAATAAAAAATAATTTTTTTTTGTTTTTCCTTTTCCTTTAATCTAATATATAATAATAAAAATAAAAACGTTGTTTAATTTTCGGCCATTTCGAGGCCATCATCTGAATATATCCGATGTTGATGAATATGATGTTGATGAATAAAATAATGGCATTTCCATAATGACTGTTGTACAATGTTTTTGTACGATATGAATGGAATAATCTAATATCACAAGATCGTACTTGTAGCAGCAATTGTTTTTTTACTACCTTGTACCATTTTGACAAAGAATAAGACAAACACGAAATTTTTGAACCAATTATTGACATGGTACTTGTTTTTTTCTCTATTTAGAGAAACAATGCTATTATTGAAAAAAAATAATAAAAAAAATTTGGTATTTGTCTTATTCTTTGTCAAAATGGTACAAGGTAGTAAAAAAACAATTGCTGTTACAAGTACGGTCTTGTGATATTAGATTATTCCATTCACATCGTACAAAAACATTGTACAACAGTCATTATGGAAATGCCATTATTTTATTCATCAACATCATATTATCATCAACATCATATTATCATCCACATCATATTCATCAACATCGGATATGTTCAGACGATGGTCTAGAAATGGCCGAAAATTAAACAACATTTTTATTTTTATTATTATATATTAGATTAAGGAAAAAGAAAAAACAAAATAAAATTATTTTTTATTTCATATAGCTTGACTTTCTGTTGTCTTTCATAGCTATTGATAATAAAATAAAAATAAATTGTACTAAATCAATAGATGATTTAAATGTTATTTTATGTTGCTGCTCATTATTAGAATTTGTCATATTTATAATTAATCCATGTCTCCATTAGATTTTTAATGTTGTTTGAATTTAGCTCTTGAAGTGTTCTTGAAACATTGAAAAGTCGACTTCAATTTTATGACTATTCAATTCGAAAACTACTTATAAGTTTGAGAAATTCTATCTTACATACCATTATACCTAGAATAATGTATCTTCATAGTGCATGATTATTCAGTTTATATCCATCTAAAAATGGTTTAACTGCCAATGATAAGGCAAATAATCATTTGTTCAAAGAAAAATCATTCAACACCTTTAACATTACTCGAACCTTGCCTAGATATTTTGTATTAAATATTTTATACATTAATTGTTTCCTACAATAAACAAGGATAAAATTAAGCGATGTAAATTATAGAATAATTTGAAAATAGTCAATACATTACTCACATGATTTAATTATAGTTTTACAAGATTTTAAGGCTTGAATACTATCTCCGGTAAATGGGTCAGAACAAAGATTGATTTTATGAATCAATTATTAATGAAAAAAATAAAATAAATGTATATGTGATATTAAGATTATGCCAGCTTCTTTGAACGAACTGCTCAAACTCAGCAATATTTCAATGAATTATTAGTCGATCAAAAAAATACACGCTTTAAGAATAGGGGTGAGAATTTATTGTTATTGTTATTAATAACAATAACTATTTTGTTATTGTTATCAGTAATAATAACTTTTTTTTGTTATTGTTATTAATAACAATAACTTTTTTTGCTATCTGTTATAAATAACAGAAAAATAACAAATAACTTTTTTTTCTGGAAAAGATCCTGTCTCACTTCCCTGTATATATTAATTGTACCCATTAGATGGGCTTATGCTTTGGAACGATCCCCTAACGTTTATAGTGCTGAATCATGTGATACAATCAACAGAAACTTCGCCCTGAGTTTTCAAAAAAAAAGTTATGTGTTATTTACCTGTTATTTATAACAAATAACTTTCTGAAAAAAGTTATTGTTATTAATAACAATAACTTTTTTGTTATTGTTATTGTTATTAATAACAACAAGATAACAATAACTTCTCACCCCTATTTAAGAATGATTGAATCGATCACCGATAAAGATGGATATAATCAAACAATCTCTTTGTTTGATTTCGTTTCTTGAACAAGACGTTGACGATGTACATAGGTAACAGTGTTAATGATTGAAAACAATATCATTTCCTGAATCTGGTGGTAATTTTGAGCGCTTTTGTGTAATAGTATTATCAGTAAAGCTGAACTCGCGTTCAACTGCTGCACTGGTAGCTGGTACAGCTAAACACGAGCAGTAGCTTCCACCAAAATAGGATAAGAAGCATGTTTCTTCTTCGAAAATGATAATAGACAATATTCTTCATCTTCTTGACCAGAATTCGTCACTGATGTGTTTTATCTGCACCATACTTTAAATACAAGTCAATTTGGATTATATGTGATGAAGACTTTGACGAACCGTATTGATCAGCATGATCTTCGTCATTAAATTCTACATTTAAATAAAAATCTGTCACATTTAGAAATAAAGCATTTGTTGATAATGAAACTAATTTCTCGTTTGAAGATGATTTAACATGTTGATTAACATCAAAAAGCAACAGTTCTTCTTTTACGTATTCAATACATTCTTCTCTTTATTTTGTTGACAACTGCTTCATGTTTTGTGTCTTAGGATTGAAGAAAGTTTTCATGAGATGTATGGAATCGAAAGAAATCAATTCTTTGATCACTTGTTGTTCTCGTTTACAGAAAAAATCAATACCTGTAAAAAAAGTTATTTAGTAAAAGCAGATAAAGAAAATTGTAATCATTGACCTTTTTCTTGTTTATAATCACTTGGCTTATATCTAATGAGGAATTTATTACAAATATACTTGGTGTTACCGTATGTATTGATGATACTTGCAATGATTGAATACGTTTCATTACATGAATCCATGGTTTTAAAAAATCAATCATTTTATCTAGCATAGATGATCTAATTATATCAATTCTTTCCTTGTTCAAACTTTTTTCATTAAATATTTCAAGTAATGGATTTAAAGACCTAAAAAGAATTAGTTTTTTTATTGAACCGTTTTCTATAAAAAGAAAAAAAGAAAAAAAGCAGACATCAAACAACACCTACTTAATGGATATTATTTTATCAAATCTTTTAGAGGGTATAGACTTTCAAATTAAAACCTTTTTGCCCAAAATTTTCAGAGAAAAAAAGTTCTAGTCGAAAAGTCTAGGACTCTTAAAAGGTTCTTAAAATAGTACCTATTGAAAAGGTTCTCTATCTGGTAAGAATTTTTTAAAAGCGTTCAGATTTTCTATTTTCTCTAAGTTAGTAACAAAAGAATCTTGATATTGGATTTACATTTTTTTTTGGTATACGTCGTCAGTTCTTTGTACTGGATAATAGCTACTAAAACACGTTTTGAAACTAATAGTAATTGAGCAAGAATATGGAGAACATTGATTCGACTTGGTGTTGTAAAGGTATAACTAACAGATATGGTTCTTTGATCAAGTAATTTATTATCATCACAAGAGCTATTATCTTCTTCGCTACTACTTCCATTAATTTGATCATCGTCATCGTCAATTGAATCAATATAATAATCACCAAATACTGTATCTTTTCTTGCCTAATCTATTTCACTTTGATAGAATGTTTCTACTCAATACACCACCGTGAATTTCTCCAATGTTTTCTTCAGGTTACTTTCTCTATTATATACCAAAACTATATCAAATACAAATAGTTGCAAATCACAGGAGAACAATATCTCTTCAATCACCTACATAAGTATATGAAAATCAAATTTAATTTGTAGTAAAAGACGAATTTACTTGAATTATATTTGCTATAGTTTTATTAGGTTTTCTCTATAGTAAACAAGCGTTGTTTTTCTCGATGTGATTTGTTATTCGTCCGTGTAAATTTCTAATCAGAAAAATGTTAAAACTATCTTTGTAGCGAGCGACATCTGATTGTAACATGAATGTTTCCTTTGATGTTGTTTTCTTTAACATAAGGAGAAAAAACCTGTCGAATGAAAATAATATTCATTTTAACTTTAACTTGACCATAATCATAATTTGTTGTATTCATTAAAACATGCATCTAATCGGCTTGTTGACATAATTGCATCAAATATTCTTCTGATTGTCCTTTTTCTTCAACGAAACATTCTTAAGCCCCCCCCCCCCTCAGAAAATCGCCTTTTTCAGGAAAATATCGAAGTTGAGTTTTTACTATAGGAAGATGCAGTGAAGCTTCCTCTTTCAGAATATATATAGTTTTGTGGAAAATGATCGGATTTTCAAAGACTTATCGTATGAAAATTAAAATCCACTGCCATGTTTTCGTAGAAAACTTCATGGTTTTTTCAGGTTGTCAGTTTCAGAAAAATTGCCTTCCCATTAGCATTATCGTTGAACAGGACATTTTCATACCAATCACCATGTTAGATGGAGCTAGCTGTCGCCATCTATGACGCCCTTTAAGACGGTTCAGTGGAATATACCACCGTAACATGACTTGTTCTGGGTTTTAATGAAAAAATCCACTTCTAAAATTTCTTTAGCATTTTTCTCAAAACATGGTTTCTAGACAGAAAAATTGAAATAACTCCCGCTCGGCTCGGTATATAGCCAATGTTTTTTTTTTGTTTTAAAGGTCTTAACCAGAGCTAACTGTTCATCGAACGGATTTTTGATATTTAATTCCAGGGCTGAGAAAAGTGGGATTTGCTGTCATACAGTCACATTTTTTTATGCTTATTTTGCAGACATGCCCACAAAATTGCTCGTAAAAAAATGAATGGAAGGGAGTTTCAAATTCTGTTCGATGAAAAGTTGCGTACAGAGGCTAGCTACAATTTGAAACCAACCCGAGCTCTGTATCCCTTCTCTGGATGGAATTATTTCGATTCTTCCGAAAGGTAGGAAAACCAATCAAAACTGCGATTTGGTCGGACACGTGAAGCTGAAATTTTTATCATAAGCGTTTCTCACTAAGACCAATCATTCCTGAAAATTTCGGCCCAAACGAAGGGTCCCAAGTGGGACTTCATTTCTGAGGGGGGGGGGGGGGAGGAGCTCTTAAAAGAACAAAAGAAAAATTCAGAGAATATAACATAATAGTTTGACTTTTACTCGACTAAATGTATAGTCAATCTTTAAAATTTCAACGTCAGTCTTAATATTCGATGATCGTATGATTTTCATTTTTTTGCCAATACTTCAGATGAATAAGCGAATACTTGTTGTTTTAATGATCATGCTAAAAGACTCTAAATGAGAAAAAAAATTAAGTAAAGATGAAAAAAGTATTCGGTCTTCCACCTAACATATCATATCTTCACTAATAGTATACCAAGTGCTAGATATTTATTTTTGACTTTAACCATCATTTGATCGAATTCAAATGCTGTTGAATAAAAATCGATACCACAAGTATAGACCACATCCTGACGAATTGTTTTAACTAATTGTTCTTTCTTTCTGCATCATGCTCAAAAGTCTGTTGGTAATGGATCTTCAGCAACTTCTTCAAAAACTTTATCAAACCTTGATAGCACATAATTCAATGGAATTTTTTTTTTGATTGAGATGTTGTTCAGCTTCTTGAAGAATTATCCAATGGTTAATGGATCATTTTCTCAAGTGGTACATCAGTAAGTTGTAAACAATTTGAATTGAATAAAGATGATTGAGTTGACGTATATGAAGTTGGTGGATATACTTTGAATTCGTGATGCTATTCAACATCGTATTTTACACTGAAAAAAAATGTATCAAACGAAACCTTTAAGGTTCAGTGGTATTTTATGTTATTCTAAGTGTCCATACGCTCTTACGAAACTTCACAAAGGTTCGGTAGTAAAAAAAAGTTTCATATCTTACTTCTGTGAATTTTCAAAATCATGAAAGGTTTCGTAGTCAAAACGGTTCCGTATCATACTTCTATCATTTTTTAAAATCACGAAAGGTTTCGTGCTAAACCTCATTAAAGTATTGCAGTCGATATATTCCACATAAGCGACCGCTCCTTAGCTTTAATTACGACTGGAGAGATTGGGAATCAATAACACAATCAATCGATTCTTAATTGTTCTAAATCAATGTCTATGAATATTGTCCACCGAAATTCATGAATAGTCTGTTGTTTGAGTTGGACGAGTCTTTCGATTAATGTGGAACTCTTAATCTTCTTATGTATTATGATGAAATTCACGTTCTTGAACTCTAATTTTTTGGAAAAAATACTTCTTCTCATACATACATCAACTGCAAAGAAAAAATTTTGGGTGTGGGTATGAGTAAACAAAAGAGATCTACACCCACATCCACCGCACCCCACCCTCTCTTTTATAGAGCAAAAACATGGAATTCAATGGAGATTAACTGTTCATTTATTAAAAAATTTGTGTAGTTTTTTTTTCATTATAATTATGAATTTAAATTAGATGGTTTTTGTTTACGGTTTTTTTTATAAACGATATACAATTGTACATCTGTCTCGTTAACTAAGTGTATGTGCAAGAACATATAGATATCAGTACATAAATTGTAAAAAATGAAAGTTCAAAAGCAAATGATATTATGAAATTGACATAAATAGAATTGGTATATAACAAAAACAATGATCTAACATAACTTAAGCACTGTTTTCAAAAAAATCGCAAATCAAAATAGAAATAAAAGTTCCAGAGAATATTTTAGTTTGAAATTCATCTAATTCAGTATGATATATGTAATGTAAGGTTTTGTACTGTATGTGTGTTCAATTGATTTATACATTTTTCGTATTATTATTAGTAAGCAATTCGTTATAATATTTAATCAGAGTGTAATTTGAAGAACATAAAATGGTTTTTCATAATAAATCGAAATGAAAAAAAGGGAATAAATCTCTGATAAATACGTATACAAAAAGTATCTTGATATTATCCATTGAATTACCGATATCGATCGAAAAAAAAGTTAAACTCTACATTTTTCTTTTTTTTTATTGATAGTACCAATATTTTCAAATGACCTAAAGCAAGATCTGTATTTGGGGTGTGAGGGTGTGGGTGTGGGTTTTGGCTAGAAAGAGGAGAACAACAACCACACCTACATCTACACCCACACCCACACCCACCCCATCCTATACAGTTCGAAAGAGGGAAAAATTTCCTATCAATTAATAAAAAAATTATCGTTCTAACATTTGCTTAAAGACAAGATATAATAGTCGGTATTTTGTGCTGTTATTTTGAAATATACGAAAAATGCGGAAATTTTTTCTCGGGCGCTTCTCTTTTTTTTCCATAGGATTCTACCTATGAATGTCTGATAAAAATAACTTACATATAGGTCGAAAGAGAAGAAAATTTCCTATCGACTGATAAAAAAATTTTCCTTTCAGAACCGTGTCTATGAAAAATTGTAAAGGTCGATATTTTATACCATTACTTTTGCATCATATCTTATAAATATTTCAAATCAAATTTCTCAATCAAGAGAATACTAATGAATTGTTAATTGAAATCATTATTTAGTTATAATTCAGAAGGTACTCTGCAGTCTCGTGCATATTTTTGATGATGGCTCATGATAATGAAAATAGATTATAATTCTTGAGTTTTATGAAATTGTAGACGTAATGATCCCATGCTCGGCATGTAATCAAGGATGTATACTTAATATGATGTTAAGTTAAACGTCAATTATTAAATGAAATAAGACTGGAGAAAAATAGAATGGTTTTTTAACCCCGGCCATCATAACGGGCGCACTTCTCGACAATCCGCGTTTGTCTTTACAGAAAGAAAGGAAAAAAATGTTTTTCTTTTTTTCTCTGTTCCATTTTTGTCTGCGCTGCGCTTCATTTATGTTAATGTTTAATGTCGTTCAGTGATAGAATAAGTATAGAACTACCATAAGGAGTCATGGTTTTCAGGGGAATCCTCTCAGAAACGAACTTTGTTATTTCTCATCCGATTTCAATCAAAATTTCAGAGAATGTTAGTCTTGACTAGAATAGCTTATGGTTAAAATATCTCCCACAAATCTCAAAGAAATGCACAAGTTCTAGTCAATTCATTACCTTTTACGCAGACAAGGATTTCGCAATAAGGATACGAGCTAACATGCTGGGCCGGTTCTCAGGTTATAGAGTACCCTTAGCGCTAGGTCGTAATAGAGTCCGATTTTTGAATTTCCCTTTGTTTGATTTTTAAAAAATCTTTTTCGTAAAATTCACGAAATCATGCCCAAAAAATTGCTAACAAAAATAAAATATCTAAGTTTCTTATTTCACCAAAAGAGAAATTCAAAAATCGGACTCTATTATGACCTAGCCCTAACTGTCTTCTATTCAACGAAAAAAAAATTATCCCTTATCTATTAAGTCGTTATTAAAAAATCCTTGAACGCGTAATTGGTATACTCGAAAAAATTGATTTTGAGAAAAACGGAAAATAAGTATTAGAAGTCGATTTTTCCGAAAATCACCTGACTTATATGTTAATGTTCAAGATAGACTATAAATATGTGATCTAAATATTAAGTGTTCATAGTCTCTTAGTGATTAGTATTTTAAAAAAATTTACGAAATGCTGATGCAAAGAGAAAGCAGCCTAAAAAGTCGAACAAGTTTGAAAAAAAAGTCGTGAAAATTTCTCAAAAAATATGATTGTAGGAGCGAAGTTTTACACGATAAATTCGTCAAAATCAATTCATTTTTCGATAAACCATAGATATTCTGAAAGAGGAGACTTCGGTGCATCTTCCTATGATAAAACTTCAATTTCGGCTCATCTTCGAAAATTGAATTTTCTGAGGGGGGGAGGGGAAGCCTTTCATCATTATTAGTTGATAAAAATTTCGAACTTTTTCTTGACTATTTTGTTTTGAAAATTGTAATTCTACAAATAAAAAACGACGGTCAACAATAGTACAAACTGATTGTAAAATTTGCGGAGCACCTGCTAAATATTCAAATTTTGGCGTAATTTCATGTTCTACATGTAAAACGTTTTTCAAACGAAATGGTCAACGTGGAAAAGTCATTTGAAAATATAGATTTTCTTTGAATTATATATTCATTCATTTTATTTTTCTGTTTCTAGGAAGCATTGAAATGTCCCTATGATGGTCATTGTGAAATAAATATAAATAATCGTCATATATGTTCTTATTGTCGATTGGTCAAATGTTTAAATAGTGGAATGCAAGCTGAGATGATTCAACCTTCATTTGCAAAAAGAAACAAACCAAATCGAAGACAAAAATCAATAAAAGATCCAAAGCAAATAACATCAACAGCTTTACGTAGATTAAATGAACCTGAACAAGTAAGACTATTTGATTAACATACTTCAGTATATGATTACAGAATATATTAGGCCATTGTTTTACAAGTATAACTGCATTGAATAATAAACTAAAAATAGAGATGGTTTTTGAATGCATTATCTTAGTTCGTAGACATCTAACATTCGTATGAAGATCGTATGTTGAAAGAGCACTTCGCATCCAATCGATTAATAATTTTTCTTTTTCTGTTGATCGATCCTTGTTTGACGATGTATTTCACTATCATCTTTTACACAAAGTTTCGAGTTGTTGTTCATTCTAAGAGAGATTTTGCATGTTTGTAGCATTCAATGCTGTCTAAGAATAGAAATATTTCTATTTAAAATACTATCGAATTTCTCAGAACTGTCATTGGAAAATTTTAGAAGCACAAGCGTTGTGAATTTATCAATATTCTATCCATTTATATGCAGAGTTTGTCTTGAATAGAAATAATAAAATAGATTTTACATTATCTTGATTTTCATACATAAGTCATTGTGACCTCTGTTCTATAAAATAAAAAGCTATGATTATCCTCTTTCTGATATCTTAGAAACTTTCATGACAGATACATTTCGATGAGAAGAGAAAATATTATCATAGACTGAAATTTCTGAAATGTTTCGTACTCAAGAGTTATTGAAAGTACAGAAGCTATAAAATAACTTAATGTGTTTTCCTTCCCATGAAAATCTATACTTTAATATGTATTACGTAATGTCTAATGTCTATTATTGGGTCAAAAGTCATCGAATGAAACTTAACATGACCAGTTCTAAAATTCTCTAGTACTTTGCAAGATTTTTTGAAGCATTCTAGAAAATTTTCTCGAACCTTGTAGAACCATCTAGAGTCTTTTAGAACAGTTCTCTTTATTGTCAAGATTTTGTGGAATATTCTAGAGTATCCCGTAAGATATTACTATGGGTATCTGATACTGACTCAAGTACAATTTTCACGAGAACTCACTAACTGTCCTCCCATAGAATATCGGTCAGCCTCATCCAAATGAGTACAAAATAGTAATGTGTAAATCATCGAATAGATTAGTTCATTGCTTTTTGCTGTTGAGTTCTAACTTTCTTGGTATATCGAATTTTATAAGTGATACTTAACGAACAATTTATTTATTTTTTTTTATAAGCCGAAAGATGTGTACGCATGCTTGAATACCATTATGTTCGACTTGTTTCTGTTATAAGATTATACAGAGTTTAGAAATGAAACGATGTAAAATTTTATTAAAGGGATAGAAATATAGAAAAGTCTTTAACTGAAAAATGAGACATTCCACAACACTGAACGATGGTCAGTTGAAATTTTAGACATAAAAACAAGTGCCATTATAAGATAAGTACGATATTCATTATTGAAACATTCATAAAACCTATTGAAATATATCTCCGTGTGTTTGTGAATTGTATATAAGCTTCGAAGATTACGTTACTTAGCAGAGTCGTATCGGTACATGCCTCATACAAATTTTTTCTCAATTTCTTCAAAGCTTGATAGTTTGTAAAAACAAAATTTCCTAATAAGCATAGTTTAATGTATCTATATTGAGATCCACGAAGTGCGAATGACAGGTAAATTTTCGATTTATTGATAACTATCATAGTTCTTAGACAATTTGAAAATTCTAATCTATTGAATCTTGTACATTTCTCTGCTTGTAAGCAAATCTAGTCATAGCAACAACACAAAAAAATTTAATCACATAGAAGTCTACCTCTCAATTTTTGACTTACGAAACAATTTCGAAGTCCAGTGGGCTACTATCTTGTGAGGAAGGGTGAATTAGTTGAATAGATTTTTTTTAGACTTATATAAATTATCTATTTTCTACTAATAGTGATTGGTTTTTTTTTCGTTGTTTAGTTTCCTACTTTGAATCTTTTACGATCAGATAAATCGACATTAACTGTTGATCAATGAAATTTACTCTCAAATATATCACATTGTTATGATGCATATAGTGGATTATCAATAGGTGAACGTTTCATGCTTGAACAAAATAATTTACCACTTAAATTACGTTTCAAACAGGGATCAATATTGAACTTTGTTGGAATGATATTAGATAAATGTCAATCATTGTATACAAATAACCAAGATTTTCTCTCTTTATCTGCAGATGATCGTTCAATTTTATTGCATAATTTATTTAAACATACAGGAAGTCTTTGTGCAAATTTTATCGGTTATAAAATTCATTTATTTGATTGTCCGGCTTACTTCAGTACTCTTGAAATAATTACTCATCCAGATGTATTACCTGCTGCTAAACGTATAGCAAAGCGACTTAATTTTGATATAATTATTATGAAATTATTTCTTGCTATTCTTTCATTTTCAACAACTCGTTATACAGTCTATTTAAAAACTTCTCCAGACAATTTATCAAATATCAAACAAATCTTACGTATTCAAGATATATATATTGAAATGGCATGGCGATATTTAGTTTACAGATGTAATTTTGAACAAGCTGTTATATGTTTTTCTGATCTTATTAGAGGTTACTTTGCTGTTGACGAAGCTGTTGTTAAAACACAAGAAGTTCAATGGCTAACAGATACAATTTCATCGGTTGTTACCCAAACCGAACAAACTCTAACTCTCAATTAATTAAATGTTTTGTTCGTTTTCTATTGTATCAACTATATTGATATGATGTTGAGTATTTAAGTTTTAATAAACATTATACATTAAGACGAAAAAGATGGATTTATATTTGAAAACAAAAACTTGCAAAATCTCTGAATTAGAGATGTTTGAGACCAAGTTTTTTTTTCGTCCACTTATAGCCCTGGAAAATCTGGTCTAGTACGAATCCCAGTAACTTCTTTTCTAGTGGTCTCGATCTAGATAAAACTATTCCAGAATTGATTTATATCATATCTAAAAGAATTCTTTCATATTTGTATTTTGAGTTATTTAGTCAATGACTAGCATTTTTTTGTCTCCGCTATGGATCTACACAAAAACAAAATCTCGTTGAGGAAGTTTTGATCTCGAAAAAAATAACCGACCATACATCAGAAAAACAAAATCTAACATTGTTTCCTTTTCCCTCACGATCAATTTTTTAACAGAAAAATTGAAGTTTTTTTCCAGACGCTTCGACCGATTGAGTTAAAATTTTTTGTATGACAACTAGGGTCAAATCTGGATGTATGTATATATATATATATTTCTTATAATAATGTTCTAGTAATTTTGAGAAGATCGTACAAAATTTGCTATGAACAAAAAAAACACATTTCTTTAGGAAATAACAAACAAATATTTTTCTTCTAAGTAATCTCTACGCAATGTATTACTCGTTGATTTTTAGGTATGAGTGTGAGCATAATATATCATTATATAAAGATTCGACTAATGAAGTGATTTACAGATTTTACGAAAACTATTGTAACATCTATAATGAGTCCATTCGTGACGAAATATTAGAATTATTGAAGAAAATTTGTCATTTTCATGGGTAATCAAGAACAATTTCGTTCGTTTTAAGCAAGTTTTTTTGCCTCTATGAAATATTAATTATTACAAATAATTGTAATAGAAAATTATTTAAATCTCGAGTAACTCCAAATAGAATTTGTCTAAAACTGAACATAGACAAGTTGATAAAAGATCAAAAGATAAACAGTGATAATTTAACAATTCATAAGAAATCAATAATAAAATGTAAAATCGATTTAATTTAAGTCAATCAGATATAGTTACCATAATCTATAGATTTTGTATTATATTGTTTAGATTATATTAGAAAAGAAAATGAAAATAGATTAGAAGGGTATGGACATTCATTCTACTCGTACCTGCATCCCCACCTACACCACCACACCACACTCACATCCGACTCGACCCCATCGTCGCCAAATCGTTGATCTACAGGGCATCTGAATAAAAGAACAAAACACGAGGAATTTTCTATTTTCTTGAACAATCATGTTGTTTATTGGAATCAATATTTTTAACACGAACAAGTAATGTGCTTTTCTTTTATTCAAAATTGAACATCATCCATATTATCGTAATCTGAGTTTGTATTTTGCAACAACTTTTTTCGGTGCTTCCAGTGGACTTCTTCCATTTTATCATTTCAAAAATTGGTTTTTTTGTCGATTAGGACTTTTCTTATCTACCACCGACAACGGTATTACAACTTTTTTCGACTCTTATTTTTTCATTTTTGGCTTGACGGAAGACCTCATTGATCCCTGCGTTGAATTGATGATCAGGAATGGCACTTGTTTGTAATTCCATAAAATCTAAAACGAAAAACAGCGATTTTTGAGGGGCTGGGAGTGGGTGTAGGTCTGTTTGAAGAGAATAGACATCCACACCCACACCCTCATCCTAGTTTTTTAGTCGAGTCTTTGGTAAATATCGATGTTTTTTTCGATACTTTTAAATTTTTAAGAAAAGATCGTAGAAAATGCGGCGATCTCTTAGTCTGATTGTCTATGAGAAATTAATATTTGCCAAGCAATAAATTTATTTCATACTGTGTATAGTCAAACAGAAAACGAGAAAAGAAAGGTAAAATGAAGTGCACACACACACACATCCACACATATATAAGAAATATCAATAAATTTATGGTTTCCATGGTTTATCCGAAATATTACTAAAATTTGATCGTTCCGAAGCAATTGATGAACGTGAACTTTGTTTTGATGTTTGTGTTTGTGAACGTGATAAACGACTACCACTATCAGTTGGTAATAAATTTTTTTCAAGTTGTGTATTTAATTCTTCAATATCATGATTAGTAAATTCTTCACGTATATTATATGTAACCAAAGGACCTGGTGAAGGTCGTGTTACACTAGCAACAGATTGACCAACCGGTGCTTCTTGACGATTTGTATTCATTGATTGTGAACGTTTAAGTTTTGTTGATGGTGTTTGTGGTGCACTTGGTAATGTCCATGATAATGGACATGAACCACTTAAAAGACCACGAGGAAATTTTCGAATAGCATATTTCAAACCTAAAAATATAAAATTTTTTTAGAGTGGGACGGAGCGCTGAACTTTCTTTTTTAATAAAAAAAATACAATTTTGGTTGAGAAAAAACGGAAAATCTTCTAAAAGTGATGGCACGCATCTCTCACGTCTTCGGAACTAGAGCCCGTTAGGCCCTACTCGGACCCAGAAATTTTTGGACTTTACCAATAAAAGATCAATCAGCTAGGTCCGAATTCAACAGTTTTGATCGATCTGATCCGGGCCCAAAAATTTTTGAACTTGATGGACTCTACTGTGAACCCTAGATTCCTAGTTATATAGTTAATGTTTCATTTTAATAATGTACATTTAACTTTTATAACAAAAAGCCCTGACATTATTGAGAACAGCTGATTATCTACTAGCAATAATCTCCTCAAATCAGTTCAATCGCTTCATTGTTGTGTAGGGTTGATATACGAACAGCTCTGAAATACAATATAAATTAATAAGAGTTTTGTACGCTCTAACATAAGTTATCATCTCAAAGATAATTAGTTCTATTCATATGTAAAGAAGGTTTTACATTAATTATCAATTTAAGTTTTATTTCAAATTTTAGAATGATGTTCTTTAATAGTTCATTTTATTCAATCACAGAACTTGATGTTAGTTGAATCTAGTGGCAAATATTTAAAATATCAATACAACTCAAATCGCAAGCTTTCAGAATAGTTTCTATAATATTTATCTGTATAAAATTAAATATATACATTTTCGAGCCAAAAAAAAAATTTAACTACACCTACATGCATTGTTTAATAATATCATCAATCAATTTATTATTATTATTTGTTGTTTAGTTAATATACAATAAGTTCGATAAACAGTATGTCTTCAACACGAGAGTCAAATTATTTAAAAATGCTGCTTTTCTATTGACAATATTTATCAGATAATGACTTCTTCAGTTATTCTGTAATAAGTTAGATGAAAAGTCAGGTAACAGGAAATGTAACTTTTTCAATTCATGATTAAAAAGAAAGCAATGTGTTCATCGCCTAAAGTGCGGATATAAAATATTATTAACTAAGCATATGGTATGCGATAATTTCATGATTTTCAAATATTTTAAACGTCGATATTTAAGATTGTTTTTTTTTGTCTTACTATGTCATTTCAAAATTATACAACTTTCAGTATTGTTTTATTGACCTTACTTTTCATGAAAAATAAAAGAGAAAGAAATCTTTCTTTTTTGTTAATTATATAGAAGAATTCAATTTGAAGAAATCTAACGATCAAAATTATTGAACAATCAATTACAATAACAACATGTCTTAGAAGACTTTTTGTTATTTATAGAGTTCTTTTTATTTTGTTATTTTAAAAGTAAGTCAATTCTAAGTCTTTTCATCGAAATGATTTTTATTTCATAACAGCTATAAGATTTATTCATTAATTATTTTTATTTGCTTATAGTATACATCGTATTCTATTGATCTTTAAGGATAATAAACTTTTTTTTTTTATTAATAAAAATGTTATTGTGATGATGATAATAACAAAAAGAAAAAGGTTTTCTAAATAAAAACTTAATGTTTTCTTCTATGTGAAAGATGATCTTCAAAAATGTCGAATGTAACTTAGTAATAATCGTACAATGTATTAACATCCCTAGGAGCCATTATACGAAAGAGACGATCCAAGTACAGACCATATACATCACTTGATCGTGTCTATCATGCAATAACTCCTAGATGTTTCTTCATTTACAATTTGTTAGAAGTTTTTTTGTTTCATATAATAGAATTTGTTAATTAAAATAGAAAAATTCAAATGATATTTCTTTATAGTTTTCAGTAATTGATTAAATAATAAAGATTAATGATAATGAAAATATTAGATAACAAAAGCGCATAAGAAGGATTCAAAATAAAATCATGTATTTTTTCTATTATAATATCTAGGAAACAAGAAGTGAAGTAAGATAATAGGATAGACAAATGTTTTTCTTTTTTTATTAAAACTTATTATAAAATACTAAATCTAAGAATCAATTAGAAAATTTTACCTCCAGAAAGTAAGAAAATATTATTATAACCACGTTCAACCATAATTGTTGCAGCATTTGGAGCAGTTCGTTCATCTTCATCGTATAAGATAATAATTTTTCCCTTTTGATTTTTCTATTATAAAGTAGAATTAATTTTAAAAAAGAACAAAGTTAATATTATACAATTAGTGTTTTCAAGTAAAAAAAAAGGATTGTCAACGTCTACATGACATTTAATATATAAATCTAAGATTTGCAAGTGGAAAATCTTTGTAATCTATTGATTCAGACAAAAAATTATATTCAATGTTTTTAGAAAACTTTATTCAAAGAGTTTTTTTTTTTTCTACATATGACCATTGTTATATATAAATAACAATTAACTGATGAATATAATTTTATTAATATAAAATATTGAAACTATATATTTTTCAAAGGTTTTTCTTTTTCTTCATTGTACTAATATAGTATAAAAAATTAATAGGTTATTATTTAAATACTATTTTTTAAAAACTTATTTTCAATATATAGAGTTAGAAATAGGCGACTGTTTTTTCTCATAGAAGAATAAATAAAAGTTTATTTATCAAGAATATGTCTATATAAATAATA